ACTCACACACTCTCTCTCACACACACACACACACACACACACACAAACATCCAGACGGGAAACATTCCTCAGAATTTATGATGTTTATGACATTTTACCTCCGTCTGTTTCCTCTTGTGCTGGTTCTTCTGCGTCACCTGCAGCTTCTTCAGACGTGATTTCTGACAAAACAAAGATTTGTTATTTGTCTTCTAGCATGAACAGTCAAAAAATCAACAAGTCATATACATTTTGTTCTCCAATTAAACAATGTTTTTGCTGCATTTTGATCTGTCACGAGGTAGAAACTCATCAAAATGAGGCATTAGTCAACAGACAGATCACCCTCATCCTCAAACCCATCATCAAACTCCACGAGACTGAAGAAAATACAACCCGGACCACATTAAATACGGGCTCTGGGTCTCGTGTTTGGACTGTGAACGTGTTTGATCGTAAGATTACTAAAGCAAAACCAGTTGATCAAACGCGCAGAACTGAAATACGATGAGTATAAGACTGAAGAGTTTTTTTATGAAGTCAAAGATGTTGTCTGTATTTATTGAAATAATTTTTTTAATAAAGATTGATATGACAATATTTATATAACGACTGTGAACGTGTTTGATCGTAAGATTACTAAAGCAAAACCAGTTGATCAAACGCGCAGAACTGAAATACGATGAGTATAAGACTGAAGAGTTTTTTTATGAAGTCAAAGATGTCTGTATTTATTGAAATAATTTTTTTTAATAAAGATTGATATGACAATATTTATATAACGCCATAGTAACGAGTTGATGTTGTTATAGTGTAACTGTGGCAATCGTTTCTATGCAAGGAAAGCAAAGTTTCTGCATGACGTCAGACTGGGGCTTTGAGAAGATCAAACTGAGATAAAGATGACAGTAAATCAGTTTCACCTTCTTCAGTAACTTCAGGATCTCCGACAGGTGCATCAGCTTCTGAAAGTCAAAGGATTCAGTTCAAATAGTCTCAAAGCAGAGCAAAAACTAATAAAAAATGCACAAGAAAATAGAACATATAAAAATCAAATCTAATTCAAAATATTAACAGAAACTATAATAGTATCTCAATGATACTAAAATAACATGGGATACATAATTAATACAGGTCAGATTTCTACACTCAAAAATCATGCTATAGTTTATTATCAACTATTGCATCTAATCGATTTAATTTAAATAACCATATTATTCAAAATAATGCATTTATTCAAATGGCTTAGAATCAGCATAAATCTGTTCATTGGGAAAACTATCACATTTATTCAATTAAAAAGTATGAACTTGGTTAAATATATGACTAACTGTGGAACAAGCAATAATCAAATAGATAAATGTTTGAGATTGAAACAAATTGGATTTATTGATGATAAATATGTAGATCTTGTTATTGTGCATTTAAAACACTTTAGTTTATTAGTACTGTTACAGAAATCCGATCAGCTTCATTTATGCATCACATTTATGTTTAAGTTAAAACTGTGTAATCCAAATAAATACAAATTTTACATGCAATTCAAATACATAAATTTTAAAAATATTTTTTTAATGCACAAAATTTGATGTAAATGCTTTAGAAGTTAGTTTCGAATATAAATTGTCAACACAAAACTAATATTTCATGTCTTTTTTTTTTCTTTTTTTTTGTTAATGTACTGTATACTGTATATCTTGAATGCAGTGTAAGTTGCTTTGGATAAAAGCATCTTCACTCATATTCAGACAGTTATTACAAGCTGTATGTTAGAAGCAAACAGGCGTTACGATGAACAGAGATTTTTACAGAAAGGGCTGCAGTATGGATTTCGTTCCCATTATAAGGATGAGTTTGGGAGGAAAACGCCTGAATACCTTTCTGTGAAAGTCATTTGAAAATGCCACAGAGTGAAAAAAGACACTCAGATCTACCTGCTTCAGCTGGAGCTTCTGCTTCTTCTGCTTCTTCTTCAGCAGCAGCAGGTTCCTCTTCAAAACCAGAGAAACACGAGTCAGACGCACATGATGTTAGTTGTGCTTTCATCTGATAACATCAGTCGAGTGTGAACGACACCATAACTCACATCGAAGTGTTTATTGAGCACCAGTGTATTTTCAACTCTGCATCTCTTTTATTACTCTCATTTTTTCAGTTTTCATTTTAGTTTTGTTGTGCTTGTCAATTTTATTATTGTCATTTTATTGTTTTTTTTTTATATATTTCTATTTAGTTTTAATTTATTCTTCTTTCAGTTTTAGTTTTTATTCATTTCTAGTTAGCAATTTAAGTGCTTCAGCTTAAACATATTTCAGTTAGTTTCCAAGGTTTGTTTCTGCTATTTATATTTTAATATATTTAAGCTTTATTTCAATTACTGAAATGATTTTTTATAATTTTAGTTTTAGTTCATGTTTTTTTTTTTTATCACCCAGTTAGTAAATTTAGAAACTTTAGAAGAAACTTTAGTTCTTTAAAAAGCTTATTTCCACAAATAATTTTTTAGTTGCCAAAGCAAAATTTCTGGTTTTTGGTTAGTTTGTGTTTTCATATTTTAATTTAATTTAATTTAATTTAATTTAATTTAATTTTATTCAGTTCAATTCAATTCAATTCAATTCAATTTATTTTATTTTATTTTATTTTATTTTATTTTATTTTATTATTTTTCAGCTTCATTTTAATTACTGAACATAATTTTTTTTATAATTTTAGTTTTTGTTCAGTTTCAGTTAGTAATTTTAATGCTTCAGCTTTAATTTATTATTATTTAATTTATTAATTTATTTGAGTTAGTTGCCAAAGCACGGGGCATAGAGGACCTACAATAATGTACAGTATTTGAAAAATAATGTGTTTTTTGAACGTTAAAGCATGTCAGCATATTCTGTTACACCAAATACACAAAATAATGATCTTTAAAAAAGCATCATATGACCCCTTTAATACTTTGTTATTTTATTTCCAGTTAGTGACTTCAGTTTTTATTTCCAGTTAGTAATTTTAGTGTTTAAACTCATTTAGTTGCCAGACCAGTATGTCTGATCTGCTGCGTCTGCTTTTTCAGCGAAACGGAACAGAGAGGAAAATAAGTCATAGTCAAAACCACACGATTATTACAGGCTTCCCAGCCCACCGACTGATGAATTTCTATGACTTTTCCAGGCCTTCATGGTCACAGGATATTTGAAGGATTTTTGAAATCATTTCATTGAAGATTGCGTTCAAAAAGAGCCGCTTCTGGCTATGAAATATTTCAGGGCTGAGAATAAATGGGACACATTATCTGATAGAAACTCCTGATCTCTCAGGTTTCTGTGGCTGTTCTGAATCGTTATTCTCAGTGTTGTTTGTGGAGTGTAATGTCTTTTTGTTTAGATCAGATCACCTGCTGGTGTTTCTTCAGCATCTTCTGTCGCGGCGTCTGAGGAAACACACATCAGGGTTAAAACGCTTTCACTGAACGCTAAAGCACATCTTGATTTTCTCTGAATAATTGTTGAAGCCTGTAGTAAATGAAGTGTACCTGTGTCAGGGTTTGTGTCTTCAGCTTCAGGCTCTATTAACACACAAAGACAAGACAAGTCATGCTGCGTTATTATACAGATAATGCATTGACTAACAGACTAACTGTTTATTCTGATTATTATTATCAAACTGAAATAAATGTAAAATGTAAATATATTGAACATTGACATTTTGTATGCATTAAACGGTGCATCAGTGATTTTACCACAGAAAACAAGGGTGCCTTTGCATTGTGCCTAAAATCAGTATTATTTTAGAATTATTGATTATTATTTTGAATAAGCTATTATTTTTATCTTTTCAAATTTTAGTTTAATTTTTAGAAATCTTATGTGCTTTTGTTTGATTTTTATTTTATTATTATATATGTAATTTTTTTTATTATATATTTTTCCATGTAAGTTTTTATTTATTTCCAGTTACATTAATGTTATTGTTTCAAATTGTTGCCAAGGCAACATTCTGATTTTCATTTTGTTTAGGTTATCTAATATTTATATTTTATTTCAGCTTCATTTCAGTTACTGTAAATTTTTAGATTTTTAATAGTTTTAGTTTTTTTTTCTTCAGGTAGTAATTTTAGTGCTTCAACTTAAACTTTAACTTTAACTTTTCAGTTAGTTGCCAAGGAAATGTTTCTGTTTTTCATTCATTTTCATTAATAAAAGTTTTTAACTAATATATTTTTTTATTTATTTCATCTTTATTTCAGTTACTGGATTGTTTTAAACTATAATTTTTAATTGTTTTAGTCAGTGTTATAATTTCCTTTCAGTCGGTCACTCTAGACGTCACGCCAGTGATGACCGACGAATTGGGATCTCGCCAGAGAGACCAATCCACTTCGAGTGTAACTAAACGAGCCAATGGATATTGGCATGCAGATTTCGCATCTGGCTGCCACAAATGCATTTTCGAGTGCATCCATCCCCAAGATTGGTTTGCAGTGATCGACCTGAAGGATGCGTACTGCTCTTCAGGCTGTGCCTGTCGCCTCGCGTCTTCACCAAAGTCGTGGAGGCAGCCCTTGTTCCTTTGAGAGAACGGGGGGTGCGCATCCTCAACTATCTTGATGACTGGCTCATACTGGCTCACACAGGGTCCTGGTGCTCAGACACCTCAGCCAGTTGGATCTTCGGGTCCACTGGGAAAAGAGCAAACTCGTGCCAATGCAGATGATCTCTTTTCTCGGCATGGAGTTGGATTCGGTCAGCCAGACAACACGCCTCACCCAGGAACGTGCTCAGTCGGTGCTGAACTGCCTCAAGACTTTATCAGGCAGGACGGCGGTCCCACTGAAATTCTTTCAGAGGCTCCTGAGGCATATGGCTTCAGCACTGGCTCCATGGCCGAGTCCCGAGGTGGGCGTGACGACGAGGTACTCACCGGGTTCAGATTACACCGGCCTGCCACAGAACATTCAGCCCGTGGTCAGATCCCTCGTTTCTTCGGGCAGGAGTGCCCCTGGAACAGGTATCCAGGCATGCTGTGGTATTCACGGATGCCTCGGCCACCGGCTGGGGGGCCAGGTACAACGGGCACGCATTGTCAGGGGTTAGGACGGGTCCCCAACTGCGTTGGCATATCAATTGCCTCGAGTTGCTAGCAGTACGCCTTGCCCTGAGCCGCCTCAGAGGGCGCCTTCAGGGCAGGGACGTTCTGGTCCACACGGACAATACTGCGACCGTTGCGTATATCAACCGGCAAGGTGGTTTACGCTCCCGTCGCATGTCGCAACTCGCCCGCCTCCTCCTCCTCTGGAGTCAGAAGCATCTGAGGTCGCAAAACCCTACTCCTGACTGCATTGGCCTCGATCAAGAGGGTGGGGGACCTGCAGGCATTTTCGGTCGACGAATCATGCCTTGAGTTTGGGCCGGCTTATTCCAGTGCAACACTGAGACCCCAGCCCGGCTATGTGCCCAAAGTTCCTACCACCCCTTTCAGGGACCAGGTAGTGGCACTCCATTAGGGGTGTCGCATCGTCCTGGGCGCTGGCTCGTGGTGCCTCGCTAGCAGACATCTGTAGAGCTGCGGGCTGGGCGACTCCTAACACGTTCGCTAGGTTTTATAGCCTGCGTGTCGAACCGGTTTCCTCCTGTGTTCTCACCTCAAACAGATAGTGGCACTGAAAGGCCCGGTTCAGAGTCGGCTTGCAGTGTCCTGGACGCCTATTTCTCCAGAGAGTCCCCTGACCGGGCAGACCCTGTCGAGTCCTCCAGCACTCCGGTGGCCAGACGTGGCGGAGCGTCCGGCGCCAGGCCTTTCAGCCAATGAATTCCTGAAATCTGGTGTGAGGCTAGTGCCCATATGAGTGACCCGGTTGGGATCCCATATGTGTATTTCCACTGTACAGTTACTAGGGCCGTGTTTCCCCTGGCAGACCAAGTCCTACTGTTGGGTTGCGAGGAACAGCTGTAGTCACGTCTCCACAGTTGCTGTACAACCACTGAGCTGCCGGGTCACCAGCTCGGCTCCTCAGCGAAAGCATGAATTAATGTGGTGCACCTGCTGCCTCTTATACCCGCGCTGCGGGGTGTGGCAGCCAGATGCGAAATCCGCATGCCAATGTCCATTGGCTCATTTAGTTACACTCAAAGTGGATTGGTCTCTCTGGCGAGATCCCAATTCATCGGTCATCACTGGCGTGATGTCTCCGTTCCCTCCTTCAGGGAACGAGGGTTACATACGTAACCGAGACGTTTTTATTAATAGTTTGAATTAGTTTTAATTTTTGTATTTTCTGTTTATTTTAATTTTAGTTAGTTTTAGTAATTTTGTTGTTTTGTCAGTTTTATTAGTGTTTTAAAAATATGTCTATATAGTTTTTATTCATTTTTATTTCCATTTTAGTTATTTTAGTACATCAAGTTAAACTAAATTCAAATAAATTCAAATATTTTTTTAAATATATAACTTTCAGTTAACTTTTATTTTATTTCAAGTAACATTTTTATGCTTTTAATTTTAGTTTTACTTAATAATCACCCTGGTTTCAGTTTTAGCTTTTATGTATTTCCAGTTAGTATCTTTAGTGTGTCAGCTTATTTTACTTAGCTGCCAAGTTTAGGTTTTTCATCTAATATTTATACTTTATTATTTATTTAATTATTTGTTTATTAATATTTGTATGTCATTTCAGCTTATTTTGATTTTTAATAGCTATAGTTTAGTAAACCCTGCTAAGAACACCTCTTACTCGAGATAAAATCACTGTAAAGTGCTTTAATTATAATGTCTGTGTTTGTTTAACCTGCAGGAGCTGTTGCCTCCTCCGCTGGTTCCTCAGGTGTTTCCTCAGGTGTTTCTTCAGGTGTTTCTTCAGGTGTTTCCTCAGGTGTTTCTTCAGGTGTTTCCTCAGGTGTTTCTTCAGGTGTTTCTTCAGGTGTTTCCTCAGGTGTTTCTTCAGGTGTTTCCTCAGGTGTTTCCTCAGGTGCAGGAACTTCAGCTGGTTTTTCAGCGTCTGCAGCTGAAACATAAAGATCTCTCAATCAGACAGGAGACAGCGTCCCACAGATTTGTCCTCTTTTATCTCGTTGCTGTCAGCATCAGGAGCATCAGCTGCTGTCGGATCATAACTCTCTTCTCGTATGTGCAAGCTCTCCTCAAGCGCACAGGTGACCATAAATCACCGAACCAGGCGCTAAGTGTTTTCAGTGTATATCATATATATATGCTACGTGTCGGGACAGTTCTGTCTTTCTACCGTCACATCAGAAACATCCAGAGTGGGGCTTTATCAAGAACAAACCTGTTCCAGACCCTCATATCAGCTTTAGAGGAGTGCTTCATTACGAGGATTGAACGACATTGCCTTAGCATGACTATATATGCAATAATTCAGACTAAATTTAAGTCTCTATTCACTGATAATCTTCCTCTCAAATCACAAATGCAGGTTTGTTTCCATATGACACGTGAAAATCAGTGATGTTTCCCATCACATGATCTCAGATGACACAACTTTCCCTAATGTTCTTTAAAAGTTATATCAATATTAGGACAAAATGTTCTTAAAGTAATGTTTATGGAACATTCTTATAACTGTATTAATATTTGATATACGCTCTCATAACGTTGCGGAATTCTCAAAACATCCTTATGATGTTATTTGTACTTGATGAACATCTAAGAAATGCTTTTGTAAGCTTTAAATAACGTTGCAATCGCGACAAGAAAACTGGAGATTTTAAACTTCCTTAGAATATTAAAAATAAACATTCAAATAACGTTATATTTTTCTGGGGTAGAAATAAAATTAGTACAACGTTTAAGAAATGTTTTTGTAACCTTTAAATAACATTATAGTCACAACAACAAAAAAATTGAAATTTTAACGTTTATAAAATAACAAAAATAAGCGTTCAAATAATGTTAATTTTGAGTACAAATTTTAATTAGTACAAAGTTTAAGAAACATTCTTGTAGCTTTTAAATTATGTTGTAATCACAACAAAACTTTTTAACGTTCCTAGAATATTAAAAATAAACGTCCAAATAACATTACATTTTTTCGTGAATATAAAGTTTGCAGATCGTTTTAAGAAATGCTTTCTAACCTTTAAATAATAAGTTATAATCATAACAACAAAGTGGACATTTAAACATTTATAAAATAACAAAAATAAACGTTCAAATAATGTTAATTTTGAGTAAAAATTTAAATTAGTACAAAGTTTAAGAAACATTCTTGTAACCTTTAAATTACGTTGTAATCACAACAAACCTTTTTAACGTTCCTAGAATATTAAAAATAAACGTCCAAATAACGTTACATTTTTTCGTGAATATAAAGTTTGCAGATCGTTTTAAGAAATGCTTTCTAACCTTTAAATAATAAGTTATAATCATAACAATAAAGTGGACATTTAAACGTTTACAAATAACAAAAATAAATGTTCAAATAACATTGAATTCTGAGTAAAAATAAAATCAGTACAACGTTTAAGAAACATTTTTATAACTTGTAAATAGCGTTATAATCACCACAACAAGAAAACTGGACATTTCAATGTTTTAGACGCATTTCGTTTTCTTACTTTTAGTTTTTATTTTATTTCCAGTTAGTAACTTTAGGTCTTCAACGGAAACTTTTTTAAGTTAGTTGCCAAGACCAAATTTAGGATTTTCATAAAGTTTAAATTTGTCATCTAATATTTGATTTCAGCTTTATTTCAATTACTAAAAATTATTTTTAATAGTGTTCGTTTTAGTTAACCCAAATAAAATCTCCACTTACTCGTGGAAAAAAAAATCACTGTAAAATCACTGTAAAAACTATAGAATAGTTTAAAACATTGGTCATTTACTCATCCTCATGTTGTTTTCTATGCTTTCATGATCCAAAAAAGCACTATATTCCCAGTCTATTGAAGTTTTTGTGATGTTTCATGTGAAGAACCGATTACATTTCAGTTGCTATTGATAACCTTCCTCTCAAATCCCAAATGCAGGTTTGTTTCCACGTGGCACGAGAAAATCATCAGTGTTTCCCATCACATGATCTCAGACCACATGCAATACACTTTTCAGTGCATGCAAAGACTGAAGCTTCATGCATGCATCTCCTTTTTTGTTTTTGTCACACGGGTTTGGAACGACATGAGTGTGAGTAAAAATTGATGGCAAAATTTGATAGGTGAACTATTCCTTTAAACTTGGAGGAAATATATCTGATATCTAAGTAAATAAAACTAAAATGCAAGTGTTTAATGGAGTCATGTTGATCTGTTTCAGCTCTGAACAGGTCTGACGGTCAACACTCTCGAATGTGACTCGTTACTCATCACTGCATTAGAACCAAATTACTTAACTAGTTACTAAATCCAACAAAAACCTTTGAATCAGAACAAAACGTTCACTTTCACGCTCTGAACAAAGATGAAGTTGAGAACATGCCATTCCTGAAGAACAGACTCACAAAACCTGCTCAATGCTTTACATTCGGAGAAAGCCAGAAATGCTGGGGAATCGTAACGATACGGGCACACGTCTAAAAAAAAACCTTGTTCGATCGTACGATGCCACTGCTGCATTTTACAGAACAAAGTCTCTTCTGCTCACCAAGGCTGCATTTATTTAAAAATCTAAATTATTTCACATTTTGTGACCTGCAGTGTCTTCAATTCAATCATTTTATATAATATTTCTATTACTGTTTAATCTCATGTTGTGTGCTTTTGCTTTCATAGCTAGAAAGCATAGAAAGATATCTCTTTCTCAAGGATTTTGTTGTGAGCAGTAATTTTCCATTGCTTTGGGATAAAAACACCTGTTGAATTCATGCTGGTCAGAAATCCTGGAGAAATACACAACTCATGAGCTCACTTCACCATCACTTTCTCCTCTGCCTCCGTCTGACTAGTGACTTAACCACCAGTTTTGGCTTTCAGACTAATTTCTGTGTTAAACAGATAAAGAATATCTTCTGACGAGATCTGCTAAACAGACTGGATCCAACATTACGGCAGGAACATGACATTTCTCTATTTCAAGCAAGATCTACTGCAGTATATGAATTCAAGACGGGTTTCATGATCACATGCACACTTAATAATAAAGATAAAATGCCATAAGAACCGTTTCTGGTTCCTCAAAGAACCTTTCAGTGATCAGTTCCCAAAAGAAACATTTTTTTCTTAACGTGAAGAACGTTTTAATAATCTAAAGAACCTTTTTCGACTATAAAGAATATTTTGTGTAATGGAAAGAGTGGAAGCATGCATGAACGCCAGTGAAGAACCTTTATTTTTAATAGTGTTTATTTAGATTCCTAAGGTTCACTTGCACTCTATAAAGAAATTAAGAGAATTTACTACCACAGCTTAAATAAATGCATGGTTTTGCGTAAATGCATTTAATTAATTTAAATGCATTATTTTGATGAGTTCTATTGACATCATAATGTTGATCATTACATCAACTTAATATTGTGCAATTTAAAGTGTAAATTGCCATTTAAACTGACGTTTTGCATTGATTGTAGTAATTTAATGAATCTTGTAACTTGTCTTGATAACTTTGAAAATTGTTGTGAAGTTGTGCTTTGCATAGGACTGGATAAGTAAATGTGCTCGGTTCATTTTAACCGAAATAATAGATCAGAGTAATTGTTTCCAAAACCAATGCTTAATCGTGTTTTTGTGAGTAATCTACTTAAAAATGTGTGCAAATGCTAAGAATTGTTACATTCCTCTAACTCAATGCATTGATTTTATTAGAAGCTCTTAATATTGTGCAATTTAAAGTGTAAATTGCCATTTAAACTGACGTTTTGCATTGATTGTAGTAATTTAATGAATCTTGTAACTTGTCTTGATAACTTTGAAAATTGTTGTGAAGTTGTGCTTTGCATAGGACTGGATAAGTAAATGTGCTCGGTTCATTTTAACCGAAATAATAGATCAGAGTAATTGTTTCCAAAACCAATGCTTAATCGTGTTTTTGTTACATTCCTCTAACTCAATGCATTGATTTTATTAGAAGTTGTGGAAACATCGTTTTCAAATGTTTCATTATTGAAAGGTTACAAAAAAGTTTCTTCCAATGTTCCACTCGTTTATTTTTAAACCCAGATATGTTACTTGAACGTTTATTTCTGAGGATGTCGTTTAAAGGTTATAAAAATGTTTGTTTAAATGAATGTTTAGTTTTAGTATTTCAAGCATTTTCTAAATAAAGAACATTATTAGAATGTTCATCAAATACAAATAACATCATAAGGATCTCAATAACATCATTGTTTGATCTCAAAGTTATGACGTTAAGTTAATGAAGTTAAACACGTTTTGTCCTAACGTTTATATAACTTTTAAAAAACATTAGTGAAAGTTGCGAGAACTGATATGAACGTACTATATGTTTTCATTATTTTGTACGTGGGTCAAAGACGTTAAGATGTCCGCATCAAAATAAATTTACAAAAGGGATTTTATGTTGATAGAAAGCACATTGAATGTAAGTAAAGTGTCTACTTTTAAGGTTTCAAATACGTTTTTGAAGAATAAAATGTCAAATTTTGGTTGAAATAATGTTACATTGTCATTCAGTGTAACACAGTATTTATGTAAAAATTCTGACGTGTACATATTAAAATATATAAAAGAATAAGGGAGCATATTAAATTCTATTGTGTTTTAAACGAGTAAAAAAATCTTACTGAAAAACGGGCGAAACCTAGGACAGTGGCACATTTAAAAAAAAAATTATTACAACTAATTAGTATCTGGGGGGAAATTAATTAGTCGTTTAATGTGTCATAAATTGATTTTTGTTTGTTGTAAATATGCCTGACAAGATTGTTACACTGAATGACATTTTAGTGGGTCTCTTCTGTAAATCAGGGAAAAATGTATCATATTTATTTATTTGCTCGGAAAAACAAAAACAAAATTGCAATTAAATTAAACAGAAAACTTTTTAATTTTTTGGGGGGCAACAACAGCAATTTAAAGCAGTATTACACTTATTGTTTTTATGCTTAAACCCTTTTTCGTCTTTGACCCTCATACAGATCTACACAGCAGCACTTTGCATAAATCCTACAAACGATGGATGTGAAATCAATCAAGATCTTGTGCTGCTAGTGATATGGATATCTCAACCGCTTTTGCTTCAGGACTTCAGGATTTTCTGTTGCATATCGAGTGGCGACAATACCAGACCCGTATTTAATATCGCCCGGCTCGTATTTACTTCTGCTTTTGGTTTTGTTGATGGTTTCTGAGCATGAGGGCATGAACACGTCTGATTTGACTACATTTGCACGCTCTCACAGTCTCTGACCTCAGCGATGAAGGACTTTTTACTTTTTTATCCTAAACATGCATGATTTGTGTTTGTGTCTTCTGCATGTAGCATCAAGATGCCCTGCTGTAAATTCAGTTGCATGAAGCTTATCATCACCTTCATCAGGAACGGTTGAGTCCCCTGGCGCAAGGTCATCGGCTGGAGAATCTGGATATGAGATAAAAGGTAAATTAGCAACCTGCGTTTATCACCTTTATCATCGGAATAAAAAAACGACGCAGGTGATATATACTGGACCCCGTCAATGGGTTGAGCTGAATAAACACACTGTGAGATCGCAGTTATGAGAAACTGTAAAATGAACCTGAAGAGAGAGCTGTAAAACCTTGCTGTTGCTCAGTTTATTACTGTTTGCTAACAGAGAGGGGTGTGTTCAGAGTTATTACAGCACATGAGATGATGGAAACGTACCTGCATTCTCTGCACTTTCCACTCCATCGTCTGAAAAACAAAACAAAAGAGGCTTATATATCACATGAGATTTATCCTATAGATGCACAAATATCTGCTTCATTCATAAAACCGGTCATATGTTTGGTTTTCATGACTTTACTATTATGGATGCACTATGTGTTAGTACTAAATGGGTTATTAAAATTTGACAATATGCTGTATATCAGCCAGTATGTGATATTTTAGATTTTAAATGTAATTGTGCATGCTCATTTTCCCATATTTTTACATTTATATGCATCATTATGGTCATCTAAAGTCCGGGTTATTATAGTTTAATAAAACTTAAACCATTAAAAAAAACTGAACATACTTGAGATCAAATAAAATGTAAATAACATATTATTTCAGGTGGTTTTCAAGGCAGCTTTTCTCGTTTACATTTTCAAGACATATTTATAAACAACAATAAAAAAAAATAAAAAAAAGTAAATAAATAAAATGACTAAAACTAACTAAATTTAACATGACATCAGAAAATATAATGACAAAACGTAATCAAAATATTAACAAATCCATTCATATAGATACAATACAATTTGCAATTCCGTTTGTAAAATTGTCCGGAATATCCTTCCATACATTAATAGTGTCTCAATGATATTAAAATAACACTTAAAATTAACCATTCACAGCACTAATAATAATTTAAAATAACATCTATTTTCCATGCACTACATTAAAATGATACATACATAAAGTCAGTTACATTTAAAACAACTGATTTTAGTTGTTAGTGTTTTGTTTTTCACTTCTATCATAAATAGGATAATAAATGAGTTTAATATGTGCTGTTTATTGGTTATCAGTCATAGCATGTAAAATAATTATCAAATGTAACGTAAAATAATTATTATCAGTATTAATCAGAATTTTGATTTCAGTGGACATCCATTTACCGTTTTTCTAAAATGTGGGAAACTCATAGATGCATCCAAACTCTTGACTGCTTGTCAACATGATAATGAAAGGGATATGTTTTGTGATATGATCTTAAACAGATGCATCTTCAGTTTTAATGCAAATGCAGTGGTATGTTTAGTGTAGCAGTGGTTTTGTTTGTTTTATTAGCCGGCTCGCTCGATGGACATCCAGTGCTTCGTGCATCATGTCTTCATATGCCTTTTGTGTTATGACGCAGATGCATTATGTAACACTTTCTTTCAAGGTTGTCACGTTTCAGCGGCTTTCGTGTCGTCAAATGGAGGCGAAATACTGCATGCATTTGCACAATTGCTAATGATTTTTGTCTCTCAAGCTTTTAATTTCCACAGCCGGCTTTTTAGTTGATGCCGTTGGCACAGTTGGTAGTCGTCAGATTAAGAGACACAAAGGAAGTTTACTCTAGAGCAGAGAGGAGGATGGTCAGGAACACACCTGTCCACACAAACACCGAACAAAGAGCTTCTCTCTGCGCAGCAGAATACAAAAATCCAAGGCTGTGGCAATGCATGTGCCTCGCTGCGTCTCTCAGATTGCGACAGAGGCACGCAAACTCCCTCGGGTGCATCAAAAGCATCCCTAACTCCACCATGTTCTCCATACAGGGTGTGGTCTACATCTGGGACTGGATTGAATTTCTGAGACTACACCTCAGTCTTTCTCGGTTTACAGCAGTGAGCTAAATGCATGTTCTCCTCTACATCTGGAGGGAATTTGACATATCAGCGATAAACAGGCCTGTAAATCACCAAAGACGCCAGACACCTTTTAATCCCGATCCTGAACATTTGGTTACATCCTGTGAGCGTTTAAGAAGTGCGAAACATTTGGATGAAGTCATTCTGAGACTCTGAGCGGCCAAAGCTGCTCGTCAAGAACACAATGTACAAAGGGGGAACTGCAGTGAGCTGTGAAGAGCTGGGTAAGGCTTTACAGCTTCAACAAGTCATTTCTGAGGGTTTTATTTTAGTGACCGACAACATTCAACCCAGAATGTATGGATTTCCAATCATGCATGTACACTGTGTGCACAATTATTAGGCAAGTGATGATTTTGACAATTGAGTTTGTTTATTATTCTCACTTTAACAGGTGAAAATAAACAAGTGAGATCTTTGCTTTTCATTTAGTTGCATAATAATTCTGCACACTAATAGTTGCCTAATAATGGTGTACATGTAGATATTCTCTTAAGAACGCCAAAACTTCACTTTTACTACTTAAATGTTAAGGTTTGAGGGTTTGTTAACATTTTGGATTGACCAAGAGCACTGTAGTTGTACAATAACTAAATTAATCCTCAAAAATACAACTTGCCTAATAATTGTGCACACAGTGTATAGCCTAATAATAGTCCTTTTGTCTCAAACATGTGATCTTAGAGCTGATATACAGACTCACTCTATCAAAAAAAAAAAGAGACATGCATGCTTCCCATTTCATCTGGAAGTCTCTCTTTACATATTACTTTATATACAATTAATACATTATATAATTTCAGTGTTCAATTTAAAAGTATATATCACTTCATGAATGGGTAACACTGGAAGCAGAAAACAAAGAAACTTTGAAATGTTAGTATCTCGTTAGTAAATGTGATTTTAAACTAGTTTAAGTAAACTCTTACCTTGCATCTTCACTCCAGTCACGATTAAACTCCCAAGGACGAAGATCCACAGGCATGACATCATTGCGTCTTGAATGAAACTGAGCTGAACGGGTCTGAAACGTGTTTTCACTTTTAGCGAGAGGTGTAACTGTTAAGTATAATTCGCGTTCGCTGGCATGTGCAACTTTCCCGCAAGCTTTTGTTGTACAACCTTTACTTTACTGGGTGCGCAGCTCTGAGTCCACCGCCCACCCACATGTGGGATTGACTTGTGTAGGATCCAATTGCAGGGCTGTCTCGCTGGTTTCTCATTGAAGTCTCATGCACGGATGATGCGCTAGGAATCCCTCCCTCGCGTGACATATTATGACATTGCACGACTCGACAAAAGCGCATATAGGTTTGCATGCCGTGTAGCGCAGTGCATGACGTTTCCGCTATTGATGCATTTTCGTTTTCCTTTAGAATTCGTGTTTAAATTCATAGCAAGGTTTCTAGCCCTCCATGAACGAGGGCAAGGTCCCCTTTGCCGTGAACACCCACCCAATCCCCCCAAATAACATACATTTCCTAAACGTTGAGAGGGAACGCAATGAATGGAGTTGGTTTAAAACCTAGCGAGCTGCCTACTTGAGCAGCGGCTTTGGGCTTCAGCGTTGGCTTTCAGCTCACTAGAAACCCACCTTTGCCTGAAGTGCTGGGCTTCTGAGACACAGCTCCATTCATCCGTTTCGCACCTCTGGGGAAGTTCCCTCTTTAACGTCCAGGAAAGCTTTTACTACTGAACTTGAGCCACCCAGCGGGGGAGCGCAGCAGCACGCACTCGAGTTCAGGAGTTGAATGTCATATCTGTCTTTAGGCACGTTTTGTCGCTCAAAACGCAAACTGTGCTAATTCTTTGTTTGCACGGGTAACTCATCAGAAGGGCGCGGTGCGGGTGAGGCTTGATCCGATAACGTTAGTAAACAAACAGGACGGGTTTTTTTGAGTAAGCAAAAAAGTGTAGCCTACACTGCAAAAAAAATAAAAATGTGTTGGGTTGACTTGTTAAGTCAAGCTAGTGCATTTCACAACTAATCACAAAGAAATGGGAAGTATGTGAAATTTTGAGGTAGAAGTATTTACTTGTAAAACATATTTCAATAATCATTGTTTTATCACTATTTTAGCGGTAAATACCCGTTCGCGAACAGAAATTGCATGCTGACAAAACAGTGCCAATATTTGACACGTCATAGTTAAATTTTTTTTTTATCAACATATCTCAGTAAGTCAAGGGCGTGTATTTTGACCTGGCATTAAACAGAGTCTTGCGAAGGCAAAATACGATGCGTAGAGGTAACCATAGCAACAGTAAGCGAGTTGAGCGCTTTGCGAAAGCATCATCGGATGGAACTTTGACAAAACAGTGCCAATATTTGACACTTTGTAGTTTGATTTTTCATAAATGTATCTCGGTTCATCAGGGCGTGTATTTACAACTAAACACATGCTTGAGAACAGGAATAGCATCCCTTGAAGTAATCATGGCAACAGTATGCGACTTGAGCGATTTATCGGCTAAAACCAAAACCTTGCCGTTATTTGACACTTTATAGAGTGATTTATTACAAACATATCTCAAAAAGTCAGTACAAGTTAGTTAGGGCACACAATTTTAACTACCAGTGCTCCCAAACGGGAATTGCGATTGTGTGAGGAGGTAACCATAGCAACAGTATGCGACTTGCGCGCTTTGACAGCATCATCAACAGTGCCAATATTTGATACTCATAGTTTAATTTATTATAAACTAATATCTCAGAAAGTCAAGGGTGTGTATTTTCACCTGGCGTTAAATAGACACTCTGGAACAGAAACTGCAATTGCGTGAGGAGGTAACCATAGCAACAGTATGCGAGTTGAGCGATTTATGAAAGTTGACAAAACAGTGCCAATATTTTTCATAAACATATCTCGTCCAAGGCATGTATTAACCTAGTATTAAACAAATGTTTGCGAAGAGAAAATGAGATCGCTTAAGCAGGTAACCATAGCAACAGTACACGAGTTGAGAGATTTGCGAAAACTTTATCATCGGATGGAACTTTGACAAAACAGTGTCAATATTTGACCTTTTTGACCATACCTCAAAAAGTCAGTACAAGTTAGTCAGACTAAACAAGCAACTTGCTATAACTGAGGAGGTAACCATAGCAACAGTAGCAACTTGAGCATTTTATGAACGTGTCATAATCGGATGGAAAGTTAACAAAACAGTGCTGATATTTTACATTTATAGATCAGAAAATATCTGCATCATAAACATATCTCAAAAAGTCAGCGTTTTGTTAAAGAAAAAAAGTCTAAAGTTGATGTTGGCTAACTGGATCTCCGAAACAAACCAAAATTGTTTTAACCCTTGAAAGTATAGCTGTATCAAAGGCCACAGTAGTAGGCTACTATTATCTCAAATTTAAAAAAAAGAATAATCATATTTATGTCATAAATAATTGCTATTGCTGAGGAGGTAACCATAGCAACCGTAGCGACTTGAGCGCTTTATGAAAGCTTCATAATCGGATGGAAAGTTAACAAAACAGAGCCGATATTTTACATTTATAGATCAGAAAATATCTGCATCATAAATATATCTCAAAAAGTCAATGTTTTGTTAAAGACAAAAGTCTAACTGGAATCTCCGAAACGAACTAAAAGTTTTAACCCTTGAAAGTATAACTGTATTAATGGGTAGGCTACTATTATTATCTCAGATATAAAAAAAATAGAAGAATCGTATTTATGCCATAAATGAAACAAATGTGAGCATTCATAACGTTCTTTCTTTGTTCTTTTGTTTTTTCAGTTCCTTCATTGAGGGTCAATCTCTGTGGTCTCCCCCCTTAATACGGGGCTTCATGGACAATTCCATCTGATGAAGTTGAAAAAGGCGAATCAACCTGTTCCACAGCAGATCCAGAGCCGCTGCGTCTGCTCTGCAATCCGAGCATGATCAACACCGGCCGGCTTTCTCCAGATGATCGCTCATGATGCGCCTTCACCGGGAACGCGTGTGAATAATACGCTGGAAATGTCAACATCAAAAGCCAAAGGTCTGGTCTGATGGTGAGGAGCGAGCCGAGCATCCATGCGCCTCAGCGGACTGTTGCGAATTGCTGAAATGCAGTCTCTCATCTCACCAGTGACTAAGGCTATCCTTGTAGCTCTGTTTATTTTTGCCATTTTGCTCATCCTCTATGTGATACTGTGGTATATATGCAGAGACGTGGACTGTGATCACGGCATTTGATTTTGGAGACCGAAGCTGCGGATCCGCGGAGAAGTCAGGGTGACCCCGGTAAGCGCGTCCGCATGCCCTTCATTCACACGTTATCTTTCTGAAATCGCCACACAACGGTGGTCAGAAATCATTATTTGTGAGTTATGCATTCGTTCGTTTTCCATTATAGCGCGCTATTACACGCGAAGTGATAGATGTGTCACTCTGCAATGACTCCACGACTCATCAAACCGTCATCATCGTGTTCATTTCGAATGAAACTGCATGCACTTGAACGGTTTTTCACGAAAAATAACATTTGGATAGATGCGTTAGCTGTTGGTTCAATTTTGGTTCCATGCACGTTCCGGGAACGTTAGTTTATGGCTATTAAAATACGTCTGAAAAGAATAGAACGTCGGGATGAATGGGTTACCAGAATAATAAACGCGGAGCGTGCACTAACGTTCTGCGTTTAATAGGTGCAAAAATTGAAGGAATAGCGCAAATTTTAATTCCCAAAGCATTTCAACGCAGATGTCGAACTAGTTCAAGAAAAGTCGGACGCAAACAAGATGCACGAAGGTTATGAGAAATAAACAAACTGTTGTCGCAGGGTGCAAGATGCATCTACTGTAAAGACGATTTTGATACTTAATACTAATTTTCAGCAAATGCTTGTTTTTCAGTAGTGTGTTATCATGCACTTTTGTAGCAAGACGTGAGCGTTCAGCTGAGGGACGCTGAGACTGACCGCAGCTTTGCAGCAGTTTATTGCAGTCTGTGCTCTTTGAACTTGTTAAAAGCATTTCATTCGTGCAGCTCTGGGACTTGAGGAGACAGATAGCGTGTCGAATGGTTTTCTGCTTCCTTATAGAGATCCTAAACAACACTCTTCTTTAATATTACCATTGCTGTCTTAATACCTTTAATCTTTAAATGAACACGAGTTGAGGCGCTCTAAACTCGAAGTGAACCATGCATATATCACGCTCTACATGCTCGCATTATTGGTTAAAATAGCCATTATGGTTACCTTTAATCTTTAAATGAACACGAGTTGAGGCGCTCTAAACTCTAAGTGAACCATGCATATATCACGCTCTACATGCTCGCATTATTGGTTAAAATAGCCATTATGGGTTGTGAAGGAGAACCCAAGGGCAGATGCAAATCAGAATTGTATAGTATGTGTACAGTGCAACAGCAAAGAGCTTTTTTACAGTTTGTAGAAGCCAAGTTGCGATACCGAACAGCACCACGTGGAGATGCCAAAAAACCCTAAACCACCACGAGTTGAGGCGCTCTAAACTCTAAGTGAACCATGCATATATCACGCTCTACATGCTCGCATTATTGGTTAAAATAGCCATTATGGTTTGTGAAGGAGAACCCAAGGGCAGATGCAAATTGCCACTGCAGTGTGTTTGAGAAGCACTGTTGAACTCATCTCAGAAGGGTTCATGGCATTTCACCAGTCGAATAGACATTTATCTGCGCAAATTTATTCATGCAGATGTCAAAGTCTTTTGAGTGAGATGTGCTGATTGGTGTATTAAATGAGAACAAAACATGCAAAAGGCAGAATGGATCTCGGTTCATGTCATCGTCGTGCCTGGAGTGGGTTGGAACAGGAACAGACAGAGAATTAAGTGTCACACTGAAAGACAGAAGGAATGTCCCTAGACAAATCATATCAAACGCTCCTGTTAGTCCACTGCTGCTCGACTGCCTGCCGTCTGTCTGTCACTCAACAGGTTTTGATGGGCATGTTGAGGAATTCACTTGATCACTGTTCCTTCATTCAGTCCCTTACAGAAGCAGCGCATTACTAGCAATGCTTTGTAAAAGTAAATATAGGCTACATGAAAACCTCTTAAATCTGTATTTGTGCATCAAAGCACAAGTGTTTAAAGGAAACATTGCTGTAGTTGTGCATCACTAAAATGTATGAAAGCTTATTTCCCGCCATGGGATAAAAAAAAAACATGTAATTGAGACTTTTGGTCCCACAATTCTGAGAAAAAAGACAGAATTGCAAGAAAAAAGGTTCTGATTTAACAATTTGTAATTCTGACTTTTCTTATAGTTGCAAATGTGTGTCTCAGTTTATATCTCTCAATTCTGAGAAGAAAAGCTAGATGAACTCAATTCTGAGAAGAAAAGCCAAATTGTGGGTTATAAACCCACGATTGCAATAAAAAAAAAAGTCAGATTTGTGTCTCGATTACTCTATTATCTATTCCATGGCAGGAAAAAAAAATAAAAAAACGGTTTGAAAAAAATGCAAGATGTAAATTCAGAATTCTGTGGAAAAAATGTCAGAATTACTAAACTCAGAATTGCAAGATTATAAAAGTCACAATTATTGATAAAAAAAAAAATCATGGTGGAAACAAGCTTCCATGGAAATGTCATTCTGCTTACACTCTCATATATATATAT